GGATATGTGCCTGAGTGGGGCGACGGCGTCATGTAGTTGCGGCTCATGTGGTCAGTGTTTCAAGTCCAAGCTTAATGACCCTGCTCGCATCTGGGTCTGTTTAGTTGTGCCAGTAAATTACACACAAACTTGTTGGCTGCAATTCCTAATTCGAAATAGTGCAAAAATTTCAAATGAAATTAAAACTCCCAACAGGCAATTGGATTAGATTAATTTTAAGGGACGAAAAATCCATTTAATTTTATAAATCTACTTTCAAAGGCTAATTTTGTGCATCCAAAAACCTTCTTTGCTTAAATATTTAACTTTAACAATATTTTCAGACCTCTGGGTTGGGGGAGTTTCATTTTCGAGTTCTCACTTTGCTGCATAATTTGCAAAACAAATTGAAAAACACTTGCCATGCATTGCTGTATATTGTTCTTCTAGTTTGTCCACAGCAAAAATTTACATATCCCAGCAGTTGTGGGAACGCAAATTTCGACTAACTTAACTAGGACTTGATATGCTCTTCTTTGCTTTTGTTTTCCTCTGATTGTTTTTTCATGGCTTAAAGTTGTGCAGGGGGACTTAAGTTGAGTTTCATTGGTCCAGTAGTTTAAGCCTTTAAATGTGGGAGAGTTTTGTTAAAACTGACTGCATAGCATCCACAATCTTAATTTAATTTATTTGTTTTTTTTTTTTTAATTAAGATAAAACGTTTATTTTAATTCTTACATTTAAGATTGCGTTTCATATATTTATGATATTGAGAAATGCAAAAAATATTATTTTTAAAATAATACTAAAGTTGAATTAAATAATTACATTTGATATCTAATTTTGTCTTTTTTGTAGCAATGTCGCTTTATTTATTTTAATTTCATGTAGCACTTAGGTTTAAGGATTTTAAATTGTATTTTTTTCGGAGACCTTTAAATTCCAAAAATTGGTATGCAAGTCTGTCTTTCTAGCGTCTAAAGAGTCGTTTCTCCGTGCCGCTGTTTTTTCACTCTTGTTTTTTTTTTGACCAACAATATTAATATGAATGACTGTCATGCCTTGGTGTTGGTGGTCCTGCTTGTGTGTGCGTATAATTATGTGGATGTGGATGTGTGTGTGCAACGGAACGTTAAATGTGCACGTGACAAGCGTGTAATGAGGAAGTCTTCAGTCTTCGCTCGTCTAGGACGCTAGCCAGCCAATATATAGTCGGGATGTGTACTATATATAAGGCAATGTCGTGCCATGTTACGCATATATCCGACTCTACATATATTTCAATCATTTTAAGTGTGTTTGTGTTACAACGTCAGCAGGACAGCGATGCCACCGCAGGATGGCCCGTATTTTCTCCGGCTCTCCGCCAGAGTCCTGAGTCCAGAGTCCTGAATCCCGTGTCCCCGTATCGTTGTCGTCTGAAAATTGGACAATGATTTATGAGGCGTTAAGTCAAACTTCATATTAATTTCATTTCATTTTCAACCAGCCCTCCGACTCGTTCTTTCTACGCTCCTTCTACTTTAAAGTTGAAAATGAGCGCACATGAGACACGTAAAATACGAGAATAAAAGCCAGTCAAGAAGGATAAAATCCGTCTGAACAGTCGATGGCTATGCGAAATACGGTAACTGGGAAACGTGTTATGAATTTATGGAATGTGATAGTTTAAGGAAACAACGAATCGGTAATGCTCTATAACTAATATATATCATATAGGTATAATTGTTAATTTTAAATCTAAATTAATATTAAGTTCAAGAAAAACTTGTGCCTATAGTCGATACCATTGTTTTTTAATTTTTAATAATACTAAAAAACTAAACTCATTGGCATTGAAAAAAAGGCTATTAAAAGTAAACTTCAATATTAAAGTCTCATCAACTATTGGCATTGAAAAATATTTTATTAATATTTAATTAGAATTAATGCCACGGAGAACGCATTTCATTAAAGTTTCCATTATAGAAATAAATGTCATAATCATAGCAATGTTAATTGAACTACAATGTCAATTGAACTACAAGCTTACAATTTTAAACCCTTGACGAAATATACTTAAAGAAAAAAGCAATATAAAATATAAAGTAATTTGTTGAATATCTAGGAGGATGAATGTTATAATGGTTATAAAAACGGTACTTAGAGTTTTATTTCTTAAATATTTAAATTCAAAAGATATAATATGTAATATATCATACATCCATCTTACATCCTCAGTTCGTTAAATACAAGTAAAGTTCACGTGCTAACTTAAGATATATCTCGTTTCCCACATGATATAGGTAGGACATAAGGGTATTTATGTTCAGTAGTCCCTTTTTCTTCCAGATTAACACCTCTAAGAACGCACACAGAGCCCACGTTTAGACATTTCAAAATTTGCTGGGCGTGTTCGGGGTTCTGCTGGCCTTTTTCCCCCCTAAGGCATAATCATATTTTCCTACCAACAATTGTATAACATGTGTAATTTGAGCATTTCATTCGTTCATTCATACATTTATTCGTTTCCACACAGACACAACCACGCACACACTTGAATGCCTGCTGTGTGAGTGAGCTGGGCTGTGAAAATAACTTGTGGCATGCTTTGAGGCGTTTGTGTGGGAAGCCAGAACTTTGAGCACTCCTTTATCCCCCAGCCCCATCCCTCTGCCCCTGCCCCTCCCTTCAGCCCACCACAATTTGGCATTCTCCAGTGGTTTTTGCCCCTTCACCAAGCCCCTGCCCCTTGTGCCTGTCTCTGGTTATTGGCCAGTGAAGCGTTAACCATGGTCAATAAAAAATTTATTTAGACAACCACAACGGCAACACAAATTTTTGCTGTTTCCTGATAAAAAAATATTATCCTCAGTTGGAAAATTGTTTGGCAGCTAGCACAGCTCACACAGACACACAATTTCAGCAACACAAAAAATACTTGTAAATTTTTGCCTTCTCTCCGGCTTTGATGGTGTTGAGTGTTGGCATTTGATTTATTTGGGACGTTTAAATATTTCAAATAATTCATATTTTATTGACTAGACACGACCAACACAGTGGCAGTGGAGTGAGGAGAAAACAACCAACTCTCACTGACCAAAGCAATTAAATTGCATTGTGCACTTCTCTGTTAATTCAATTTGTTTTTCGAAATTTTTCAAAGCAAAATTTATTTAGCAATTGATTGAGCAGCTGAGCGAAATAGTTTACATTTCCTCGATGGGAATATTTTTAGCGTTTTAATTTTATTTGGGCTTCATTAGAGAATGATCGAATCAAATTAGTTAGTTGTTCCGTAAATAAGCACACTATAAATTTCCAATTTTGCCATATTTCACTCAATTAATGAAGCGTTCTCCAGAACTATCATTTAAATTTACTCGATATACTCGTTCTCAGATCTGGTTACAATAAATTTAAACCGCTTGACAAATTGCCAACAAGCAAGAAACACTTGGAGCTGGCAAACAATTAAACAAACTGAGGAGCAAACAAACAAACAGCAAACAACAAGAGCACAAAACAATAAATGTGTTTTCGGGTGGCATTTTCTGGCCAACGAAAATGTCTCCAGGGTCAATTTCAAATGCATTTACATAGGCCAGCACACCCACACACACAGAAACAGACACTCGAAACATAGATTAGTGTAATTACTATACCATGGAAAATGACGTCGACATGAACATGGCAAACGGCTCAAGGGCATTTCCGCTCCATTGGGGACGAAAGCGATTGGTTTGAGGATTTTGGATTTTGAATTTCGGGAGGAGGGATGAGGGAGCAGAGACGAAATTAGGTTTCCACTGCAAACTGCACCTATATCGGAAATTCTGCTTTTGATTTCATTTCATTACGCATTTGCAATTTCAACTATGAATAATTGAAAATGCACACAGCATACTTTAAGGCCCAAATTGCCATTACAATTGAACATTTGTATATAGTTGTGTTGATGCAATCGCAGTTACGGTCGATATTTTTGGCTAATTCAGCCGAAATATGCTTATTACGCATTAAAACTAATTAAGCATGAAACTGTATTTGATGACTGTATTTCGCCACCCCCTTTATTGGGGGCGGAAAAGTCCTGTTTGGGTTCAAAATTTGATTGATGGCAACAAAAGTTGATTTGCAGTCGTCCCATTTTGCCAAGCATTCAACTTTGATTTATAGGAATTAAGCGGCTTAATTGGGTCTTGATTTTAGATATGATAATGCGGAAAGGCAGCCAGGATCCTCTTACTCTCACCCACTCCCACCTTCCACTTTTGCTCACCGTAATGGCTCTTAATTGCCATTCCGTTCGTCCTGCAGGACTCTTCAATTACCACGCAATTAGGTGCGAGTGTCAAGTGCAATAAAACCAAAAAAAAAAAGGAAAGATAAGGAAAAAGTAGGAGGAAAACCAAGTCAGTAGCTCACTTAGAGGCGTCCGGGCAAACACTCGCAACCACTCGGCATAAATTAATTATAATTTCCCCTGTAAGTGTTCCGTGTAATTGTAATTGTTGTTATGGCTGGCTTATAATTGTCGGTCTTGTTGATGCCGTTTCAGTTGCTGTTTTCGGTGTTTCTGTTGTTGTCGTGCTAAACAATTAAGTGTAAATTGTAAAACATGGGGAGCTGCGGTCTGCGGTCATGTCCCTGTCTGATTGTGTGGGTGTGTGTGTGTGTGCGAGGAAACCCCGAAACGGAAACGGAAGTTGAAACTGTAACAGCAGAAGAAGAAACAGACATGCAACAAAACTATTGAAACTGCTTTTTCGAGACTCGAAGATTAATTTATATTGTTTGGGTGGCCATTATTAGCAGAGATGCATACAGATTGCAACTTGATAGTAAGGGTAATTAGCGGTGGAAAAATTACAGGAGTTATTGAGCACTTAACGTAAATGAGATGTTAAATGGTGAGGAGTCGTTACATCTGGCGCCCAACGTGGGGCATTGCGACACTTAATTATACCGATTAATTACTGAATGATTAATTCTGATTGCAAGAGATTGTTTTAGTGTTAGTTCAAGGACCAAATCAAATCAGGAATCAAATATTTTTATTTTTAAGAAACTCATATAAATACTCGTAGGACACCAGGAGCAAGGCTCCACCAGGACAGACCCTTAATATCGACGCTCCCAGACCCTTGAACAAACTCCGAAACCCCTCTTCCTTGAACGTCGTTATTATCGTAGTTACAGCCCATCGGTACTTAACCTGGCCCTTTATCGGTTGTGGTCCTTGAATCCGGCACCTGGCCATGTCCAAAGTAATGCTCATCAAGCAGGCCAGGGAACTGGCGAAGCCAGCTATGGTGATCTTTCGCAGGAGCTCAGAGGTGGTATCCTGCGAGATGGGAACCATGTCCTTGATCGCATTGTAGAAACCAAAGAAGCCAAAGTGGAAGACAGCGTTTCGAGCCACGAGTGCCGTAATCCCACGATAAAGTCCCCCGATGCCAAAGCCCTGGTGTTTGATGATATACTTGACCACCGACAGCGTTTCCAGGTGCTTCTCCCGATGAGCCTGCTGTGTGACCTTGACCACCTCGAAGGGATTTACGATGAAGGACTCCAGGGTGCCGGCCAGAGAACCGGCCATGGCGTGGGTCAGAGGGGTTGGATGAGGGGCACCGAAATGGAAGTACGGCTTAAACGACTCGTACATCAGAAACTTAGCACCCCTCTTTGGAGTTTCCACGCAGATCGGCGGCACAATGCCTTTCCACAGCGAGGGCAGCCCCTCGTACCGATACATTTTGGCGAATGCATCCAGAGTGCCCTTATAGAACACCTCTCGGGGAATCGGACGAGGTCCCTGTATCTGCATCCGGGACTTCACCACATCGAGGGGATGGAAGCAGAGTATCTCTAGGAAGCCCGACAACCCGCCAGCCAGAAATTGGCAGTGCGCCTGAGATTGGTCCGGCGCCTCTGAATGGATCGGCATTCGGTCGATGACAACAAATTTCGAATTTCGTCTAAATTCATTTTGTTTGACGAAACTAGAAAAGCCCCTCCGACTCTGGACCAAAAGCCAACTCGAAATCAACGGAAAAAAGTTAAACGTTTTTTTTTAATTCTAGATCATGGAATCATTGTAAAACTGTATAGAAAATGAGCCTTGATTTTAAATATTCCTTTGAGACCTGTCAGGTCCAGAAGATCACAAAAAAATGATATGAATGATATGGATTTGCAAAAAAAGTTAAATGAAATCTTTAACAAGGAGTGTATAGAATTTATCAGATTATTTAACGACTTCACAGTTTACATATCTGATTGATCCCACGATTCCATGAGCTTATAAGTACAATGATACATTTACTTACGTGCTACTTTACTTTACAATTAATATATTTAATCCAGATGGCGAATTAAAGTGCTCTTCGAATATACATTTAGCATTAATTGCCAAGCAATTCATCAAGGTTAATGAACAGAAATTGCTCTCATACGAAATTAGGAATATGTATGTTGGGTACAAATTTAGTTTACTTGGGAAATTATTGTACTGCAGTTAATTAATATTCCTCAGTCAAGGGACTCTGATGTCGCCAGCTGTAAGGACTTTCTTAAAGTTCCTTACTTGTTATTTTTCGCCCCATCACACATTGCCCCTTGCTCTTGAGGTTATATTTAGCCACCACCCTCTAATGTGTATCTCCGAGTGCCATGTTAATGAATGTCAAGTGCACTGGATGTAGGAACTTCCACTCCTGTACCCCCTTTGCAAAATGTCTGTTGTGCTGGTGGACTCCTGGGCGATCTCATAACAACAATTATGCTAATGTGGCCCAATCCGGGACGTCAATCCAACATAATTGCTAACAAATTAGTCATGGTCGCACAGGCCAGTCCCAGCCCTTTGGCGAACACCGCACAGCTCATCCTCATACTCATCCACATCCCAGCTCTTTTGGCCCAGTTCGAAATGTGTGTGGCGGTTGTTTGGCTTGTATGCGGAATGGAAGTTTAACACGCGAACAGAGTGAAGGACCGACATTGTCTGTGGCTAGGTGTGTATCCTGGCAATTTGCTTGTCACGCTGCACAATTGCAGACCAGGTCCTGGCGATAACCAACTGTGGAGCGTCCTATTCTCCTCGCCGCCTGATGAGGCAAATGAGTTTCGTTTCCATGTCCTTCAGCTGCTCCTTGACTGCCTGCCTTGTTGGCCTCAAGTACCTTTTGGCGTCGGGTTACCCAGGTCGTTGTTCATAAGTCAGCTCATTGCCGCCGGCTGCTGCTCCCCAGTCCCTCATGTTCTGCTATCCTGGCATCCTGGTATCCTCACATCCTGGGTCTGAGGTGGCCGCACTCCTGATGGAGAGCGTTAAATTTATATTAGAGTATTAAGTCAATGAGCAGGGCTCTTAAGTGCCGTCACTTTGCGGCTTGAGCTGGCCGCATTTGGAGTTGGCCCAGTGACTGATGACTGGACTATTAAGTCGAGAAGCTAGCCGGGTTCAACATCCGTTTGATAGATGGCAGTTCAATGAAAGGAAGAAATTCTAGGTTGGGAACCATGAATTTAAGGTTATTTAAAAATTTATTTTGTCAATAAAACATTATTACACTTTGGTGTTCCGGTAAAGTTGAGGTCTCTGATTAAGGAAAAGACACATTCAAATTTTTGTTTGATTTTGGGCATATTTTTTTATCTCCAGTTCTGATAAACCGATTTCGGTCATAAAAGACTTATTGCGGTAATGGAAGGCCGACAAAGTTCTTGCTTCTTAAAAAAATTAATTAAATTTAAATCTATTAAACAAATTTATTTACAATCCACCAGCAAATTGATTTTATGTACATTTTTAAGATTTTGAAAATTTTAAAAAGGCTCAACTCAAGTTATCTTCGTGTAGCATTTTGACGATTTTATTTTGTAAAAGTTTATTTTTAAACAAAAAGTTTAAAGTTTTAAGTTTAAAAGTTTATCTTTTTCGTGTTTTAATATTGTTTAAAAGGTTTGCTGTTGTTGTCCTTGCGGTTTGTCTCCTGTTATCCTATTACTTAATATTCTGCTTACACAAACCATTTAATTAGCAGAACCCTTATCTTGTGCCTGCTTCTATGACCAACCCCATGTCAAAGAACAACCCACAGTTGAGTTTACACGTCAACACTTTAGTTATTTGCTGGACATTTTTTTCAACAGCAGAAAAAAAACAGAAGCCGACAGAATTTCACTCAGCTCTCATCTGAATTTTTTCCCTTCACGACATTTCCTAAAAGAAACGAATAGAAAGTGGGGGAAAAAACCCCAAAGCCAAAGCTCCTCGCCCGCTGTCAGCAGCACATCACACATCTCCTTGTCATTTTAAAGCCATTTGATGTATGACAAATCAAATTTGACAAACTGCCAACAGTTGTTTTGCATCTTTGCAACATTTTTCACAGCAGCCACCCTTACTTGGGGACACATGTGAAATCAACTCTGTACTTAATACAGTATAATGGCATAGGGAACACCCATAAGAGCTCAGTATACACCCGTAGTATAGGAAAGTTGGGAAAAGGAGCAGAGCAAAAAATTTACATACTCATGTTTCGCAATACGCCGTGTGACATGCAAAAATGTTACTCCGAAGTACAGACTCGATGAGAAAGGCATTCGAATGGGGATATGTGTTGGGGTTGGGAAGTAGCAGTTGGATTAGGGTATTGCTCAGCGCATGCACATTTTAATGCTCTTTGATTAAAGACAATGATGTCGAAGTTTGGAAACTCATTTGGGCCCCAGGAATTTGTGGGTCTCACGTCCGGACTCAAAACCGACCGAAAACTAAACGAAAATTGCGGCAAACTTCGCTCACACTCACGGGGGAAATAAAAAGCGTTTCCCAAGCCCGGTTTAATTTCAGGGCTTATTCGAGTATGCACTCCATTTCATATATTTTGAATAAAAAGTCATGCGAAGTGTGCACTTCGTCTGACAGTCAAACCCAAAGACGGATGCAGAAGAAGTCGGAGACCGGAGAAGCCGGCGAAAAAGCGAACGTGAGCTCAATCAAGCGCCTCTAAGAGTCCGACAAGGGAAATTTACAAGTCACACACGAGCGTACAAAATATAGCGTTCGAAAAATGGCAAAAGGCGAGGAATGCGGTTGGGTTTCGCCTCCTCATCTTTTTCTTTTGGCCAACGGGGAATGCATTTTTTGGGGAATCGGAATGGAAATGGCGGCGGAAAACGGGGAAAGAGATCTGCAGTCGCAGTCGTGTCTCAACTGCATTTCGCATAAAAAATTAAAAATCGCCAGCGTAGGAAATAAGAAATATGCAATCTGCTCGATTTGTGCATGATTTCTCATTGTTTGCCAAGCCAGGTGCAGTGGGAGAAAATCGTAGAAATAATAAAAAAAAATATTCATTTGATTATGCGAAATCCAATGTACAAAAAACAAAATATGTTTGCGAAAACTAATACATTTTGTTTTTAGGAAATTTATACATTTTACAAAGTTACCCAAAAAATTGCGCATTCGCCATGTATGCCAGCCAGAAGTCGAGGTCATAATTTGAAAATAATATATTTTATCAAAGGCAAGCATAAATTTAATTAAAATTCATTATTTGACGCTACTTTCCCTGGAATTTCTAGTATTCATGAAATGTGAAATAAAAATATTTTGCAAAATTTTGAAGATTAAATTACAAACATTTTTAGCAAAAATAGCCCTTGGCAAAAATGTAATGTGTCGCATTTTAAAGAAGGCAAAGTTAGTAATTGATGTTATTAATAGGTGGAAATATAATTTGTTATGATGACTACTGGCAAAAAGAGTCTGTATTAGTAAAGGAATCAAGAAAAGATTATTTTAAATTTTAAAGCTTTCTTTAAATATTTAAGTGACAACCTTTTCGGGCACTGTAATCCTCTGGATGTCCTCCGACATATGATGAACAGATGCACTAGTTTAACTGCCCTTGGCGCCACCCCCTTTTTGGGATGCAGACTAACCGTTATCGATACAACGCGCGCACTCTTCCCGAAAAAAGTAGACCCCAGGGACATGGTGTCAGTTTGGCAAGTTATTGCTCTGCACATGGCCCATTCCAATTCGCTCGCCTATTCCCAACTCATTTCCATGCCCATTTCCATTCCCAGTTCCACCTTTTTCGATAGTTCCAGTTGCCCGGCGGCGTCTTTGACTTCAGAAACGCTTTTTTGATTGTTGTGCTGCGATGTTCGGCTGCCGTTTGACTTTATGCATGAATGACTTTGAGTGGAACTTGGACTTTATGTGGCTGGAAGGCATTGGCTTGGCTTAGTTTGGCGACAGACCCCGAGATTCTGAGACTCTCAGACTGTCCCCTGCTGTTCGGGAAACTATGCACTACCTGTCCTTTGTACATTTTATATTACGACAAAGTTGTCCAGCGTCGGGGATTCCAGACGCATGTTTCAACTTTGGTCGTTGTCGTCGTGCCGTCATGTTAATGCCAAGTTTGGCTACCTGAAATCGAGTTATCTGCGTCTGTCTGCGTGTGCATCTGATGGGCTGACGTGCTACAGTCAATCTTCTGAGGATCGAAATGGTTATTCTTTAGTTAAAACAATGCACCTACAACTTAACACTTATTAATGGACGTAAGACTTAACGATATTTCTAGCCAAATACTAAACAAATTTTATCTTAAACTAAAGATTATTATAAAACAACTTTTGACATGGGCCCAATTCGTTGGAAAACGATTATTTTTCCGGTAGATGGAGCTATATATTCCGACTACCCGCTTTACTCATTTAGTTGAGTAACGGGTGTCTAATATTCAAGGTACTCAATTATTGCATTCTAGTGCCTAATTAGAAGGTTAAACGAATTAAAAATTCTAATCTGGCTTAGGAATACGTCTGCTATTATAACAAAAGTCAATAAATAAATAAATTTTAATTTAATTATCAGAAAAACTGGAACATCGAGTTGAAGAAGCTACACTGTACCCAAAGTTAGTGGAAAGTTGAGAGTGGGGAGGTACGCTCTGGAAAGTAAATTA